AGAAAAGAGAAAGAAAAGAGAAAGAAAAGAAGTTGTATCTGTGTGGGAGTTTATTATTTAGAAAACTCCAAACAACCCCAAAAGTAAGAACTTCTTTTTCTCCTACCACATTTCTGAAATGCCAATTTACCATAGCATTGGAAAACAATTGTATCTATGGAGAAGCAAGAGACCAAAAATCTGCAGCTCTGGTTTTCCAAAGCACTAGATTGCATATACACATCTTCCAAAAATAAGTCTTGGGAGGTCAGAAAAAGGAAACAAAGTAACTTGCATAAAAAGAAATGAGCAAATACAGAGAATATTTCTATGTCCAGTGTGCAGAAATCTTAAAAAGTAAACAGACAATGCAAAGGTGATCTGGATTCCCCATTCAAAAGAAACAAGTTTCATTTGTTCTCCCCCATAATAGAGGAAGGAGGAATACAATTAAAGAAGCTGATAAAAGCACAACAGGAATTTCTTGTATTTACACATACAAGTGGAAAGGAAAAAGTAATGTAATCTTTTATCAAATTTCTTGAGGAATAATTGACTGAACACATTAAATATTTAAATTTTAATTCCTCATTTTAAATCTTGCACTGTCCATAATGTTGAAGGTAACAAATTCCACCAATCAGACCAAACAGCAAAAAGATATGCATCCTAAGGAGTTGGAGGTGAGGTAGCAAAACTGTTCCCACTTCCTTGCCCCTGAAATAAATGGTTCCATAGTGCTAAGTGAAGCTATCTTTCAAAGCAATTATTTATCAGGATGGTTACATTTGCAAATTCACTGTCATCACATGAAGAATGAGGTAAATATTTGAATACTAGTTTCCTCCAAGGCCATGTATGTGTTCTGTGGTTCCCTGGTGATCCCAAACAAAAAGACCAGACCTTCCCATTAGTTCCCTTCAAATTTGAAGCACGTGGGAACTCAAAACTCCAAGAGGCTGCAATGGATCCAAACTAGCTACAATACTTCTCTGACTCCCAGTCAAAGCAATTACTCAGCTTAAAGCTTCAAATTTATGTCAGTATGGACCCTACAGTACATTGACCCACAAGCCACCGGGAGTAAAGAATTACATTGCGTCCTTGAAGGAGCACTAAGAAAGAGATGGGTGAGACAGTATCGAGTGAAACCCAGACCAACACATCCTTCAGAGGTAGTAAAATATCCACAGATACGCCTCCAGCTGAAAATTCTACAGATATGGCTGTAACCAAACCTTTTTTCCAACTTCAATGGGAAACAACTTAGTAAATTTTGCAATGACTTAAAAAAAAAAAAAAAGAAAAAGGAGGATCAAGATCTATTAACGATAAGCGTTAGTTATGGTTTTGCCTCTATCAATACATATCTTTAAGTTAATAAATTCTGATGTTTAGTTTGCTGAAAAAAAATTAGTAGCTTTTAGGTAGGTTTTTTCTTTCCTGTCAAGAAACAGCAGCAACCTACAAGAATGCTGCTAACATTGTTTTTCTTTTCTCCTTCTACAGGTAACAGGCACCTATGGCCACCATCTCTAGGATAAGCACCCAGCCCTCCAGGATTTACTGGTTTCCAAACATTCTGAAAACTCGCTGTAGAATTTTCTAGTGTAGGAAGTTATTCAAAATTCAACTACGTATTGTAACTGGAGCACTAGCCACCGCTACATCAAATAGTGCTGTAAGGCTCCAGGTAAACAAGTAGATTGAACCACAGCAAGTCAAGCTGTGAATGTATGACATAATCCTTATACATAATTTAGCCACACCTCAACTGTCACAGAATTGATCCATTGCTAGATAGAAAAACACTGCTAGATATTACTTCTCAACACAAAATATGCTTATTTTTCACATAGCATGCAGCTCATTCATTTTTACTTGGTGCCATGACAAAGTTTGCTTCAAGTTTATGGTTTAGGGTTTACCTCTTTATATGCATGGTTCTACCCTAACTTACTCAAATATGTATCTTTTTATTATAAGCATCTCCAAGGCCTTCTTGTAATAATTTTTAATCTCAGTAAGACAAGAGAAAGAGGATGGTGAAATGAAAAGTCACTCTGTTTAAAAAAGGAGAGCATATCTGGGGACTTTGGTTTGTTACAAGTATTTTCACTAAACTTACTGTAAAACCATAGAACGTTAAGAGTGCCAAAATTCTATTTTACTGAATTGCTACTGTGATTTAGAACATATGCTAAACCAAAGCCAAGTCTTAAATTTTACTATCGGATACAATTAACACCAAAATGCAATTTCAAGTGTGTAAGTACCTTACTCTATTCAGGACACAGCAATTTCTTGCTGAGCTGCTCTAACAAACACTGCACATACTCGATACCATGCACCTAGGAAACCTCCAAATAATATAGTTTAACTATATAATCCAAACATGTTAGATAAATGAAAACTGTCATTATTACTCTCTCCCTAACCATGTGATGATAAACACCACCACGTGCAAGGTAAGACAAGCAGCAAATGCATTAACTGTCTCGTTCTGGAAGAGAAGCATCTCAGCAAACAACAGCAGCACAAACTATAACTACGTTAGCTGCTTAAGAAACCTTGACAAATGACAACCTGATGTCTGAGGGTCCTGTGAGGAGCCCTTAGAGGAGGACTGATCAGAGGAGGATGACTGTGGCGCTGAACCCTCAGCTAGCTCTCGCTGTCTCTGTTGTTCTGCCTTCTTAAGCCTCAGTCGCTGTAGACCCCTACGGATTATAGCTAACTCAGGTCCCATTAACTCTGACAAACAGGGAGGGGCTGGAGGGGAGGAAGAAAAAAAAAAAAGTATGTAAAAGAAAGAAGCATTGAACATATAATATACAAAACAAGGAGGAGGGGACTGACCAAAGAGAGAAGCAACAGATACTAAATGGAATTACAGTTGGGGGTGGGAAGTAGTAAATCATTTACTAACAATCAGAAATTATAAACTAAAATACTGAAATTGTTTTTATCTTCCTAAATACACGAATCACAGGACTTAAAAGTTCAGGATTCATGCCATACAATACATCCCCTCCCCATCTCTAACACTTAAATCATTTAACAAAGAATTATTTAGTGAAAATAAATAGACCCTGATTGATTCAAAACAAAGCAAACAGAAGTATTAATTTTCATGTTCCTAACACACATAACAAATGAGAATATTCGTGGTGGAAAATTATGCAACTGTGGTCTACAGGTAAATTTTCAAAATGAAGGTAATTTTTTTTTTTTTTCCACATCAGGAAGCTATTAGTACAACTTTGATCAAAACAAACCTCTGTAAAAAGTAAACCTGGACTATAGAAACAGGTGGCAGAACAGCATCTAAACAAAAAATACACTTTACTATGAACTCATTTTTTATCTCAGACATTCCTAGTGGGTGAGGATTCAAAGTCTGAAAACATTGTGAAGTGGTCCTACAGAGAAAGTAATTTATTGGATCATAAACAATTCTTAGTCTCTTTCAGTTCCATCTTTAGAGACTTTCATCAGTGCTTTCATCATTTTGTCTTTATTCATTTGCCAGTTATACCATTTTGGCATGTACCAGTCCACTGTCTGTTTAAAAGTATTTTTTTCAAACTACTATAAAAGTAGGCATCCAAGCAATTTTTTGTTCTTTCCATGCTCTTTGAAGATTTTTCTCCACTTACACAAGTGCTGTATAGCAAGCACTTCTCTTTATACAACACAGATTGTGTCTTTATTAGCAATAGCTGAAGCACAACATTGACCCCACAGTAGGGTAGAGAAGTTAATTCAGACTCAAACATTCACGTCAAATGCTCTAGCAAGTTCTTCTATACACTGCTAGCCTAGACCTATCCTGAAAGTATTTATATCAAGGGCATTCTGGAGTATTTTGTAGATATGAGGAAATCTGCAAAGAAAAAAAAAAAAAAATCGGTACTATAAAATGTTAAAATACTAGAGAGCATTACATAGGCACGTAACCTTTTATCCAAGCAAAAGCTTTACAAATATTCTGTAACTCTTATTCCACCCTTGCTGAAGCAAGCAAGTTTTATGTTGTCTTTCATAAAAAGAAACAAACCCAAAAGACATAAATCAATCATTCAAAAATCAGTGGCAGACACCAGTTACTATCGAATAGTCATGAGCTCTAATGCCTTCAGTCTAATACTACTTCTGGGAAATACATCCTGCCAGTTTATGGTTGATAAGTATAACAAGAAGGAAAAATATATATACTTCCTAAAAGGAATATGGCATCAAAGAGGTTTGCTATGAATAGTTTTCATGTACCGTGAACATTTATGGAAATTAGAACTCCAAACAGCCTAGAAAATGCTTTTAAGTAAATTTCAATTATATCTAAAATTTGCAGTTTTCAGTACTTGCTGCTGATTTAATTCCACTCAGTCCACAGACAGTTGCAATTTAAGATGTAACAAGAACTACAATTCAAAATGTAAAGAGGTAAATCCTATCATATGTATGTTCAATGATAACACCTTCTAACACATTTCAGAATCTCCGAGCAAATGTTTATTTTGCCAGCAAATGGAGTGAGAAAATTGAAAGAAAAAAAAAAAGCTATTGCCACTTCCCCATTCAAAATTTAAAAGCAAAGTTACCTTGTATCAAAACACGTATTTAGATTAAGCTTTGTCCCAATTAGTCACATTGCCCCCTAGCCCCCCTCCCAATGGTGCCAATGTGTATCTGGAATATTCTTTATGGGGGAAAAAAGCATTATTGTATTTTACAGTTTGTTGTATGTGATGTTTATTTGTGGTTTAAAACTACAGCATCTTAAAACTAATGTAAAAAATGAATTAATGGTTTCCACTGAACAGGCTGAGCAGGGCAGGAAAATAAATCTATTATTTTTTTTCCTTGATGGTAGTATGAAAATCTCCAGCAATTTTCTGTCTCATTATTAAAAAAATTAATAAAGAAATTCATAGCGACAAGAACAAGCTACTGAGATTTTGCACTGATCTTGTTGATTATTTGCCACTTACTCAAATGTTCCAACTGTATTTTCTAGAATATACATTCTGATGAACTTAGCTCAACAAGTTCCAGCACTGAACCATTTTTGTACTGACTATTTTGAACACGTACTTTTTTAAAACATTAAGATATGAAGTTATTCGGATGTAGAAGCTCAAATGCTCACCATATGGCCTATCTTCTGGAACACCATACCAACAATATATTTGAATTATAATACCTATGCAAAGGTATTGCTATTTCAAAGACAGTATTACCATCAGCGCCTGTGTTCAGTACAGAAATCTGTAGAAATGATTTATGGAAAGCTGTTTATAAGCCTGTTCCATTCTGTGGTATGAATTCATGCTCCAATTCTAAAGAAGTCATTACCCAAAAACATATTCTTCATTTGCTAACTCTTCGCTACAATATTCAAACCAACGCTTTAAACAAAATGATGGCTGAAAGCATCTTGCTTGCCTTCTTCCATTTTCCAAAATGCTTCCCCAGTCGTCCATCCTTTACAACACACCTCCATCTGGTCTTCCTACTCAACTCCACTGCATTTAAACTACTATTCCTATAAGGACTTTCCTTATCTTGTCACCCGCAAAAGCAGCAGGTTTTATTCACCTGTCAATGCACCTAGCAACTCAGGGAATCCTGTTCTTGATGTAGAGTGCAGTGTTTTCATATTTATTGTGATTGTGAGTAAATAAAATCTCATAACTGAGCACCATCATGGGTTACATTAAGTATACAAATATTGCAAAATGGAAATTCACATTCAAGCCTACCTATTCATAAACACTCCTACTGCTCTGCCATGACCTACTGCCTCTGGCCAGGAGATTCTCCTCTCCCTGAGCTTGCCCATGTTACCCAAAGACTTGTTTTACAGTAACTCAAGTGTTTTAAAAGCAGGGCAAACTAGACAAGATGCTTACTAGGCATGCAAACATATAGTACTATTAATTTTACTCCTGCAGGAGTCCTGTAGACAATTCAAAGATGACTCCTGGTCCTAATACTAAAATCTGCATACAGCAATAAAGAATATTAGATAAAGTTGGGGATTTTTTGTTTGTTTTCTGTGCATTTGGTGTTTGGGGGAGGGTGGTGCAATGGTGACTTTTTAAGAATCAGCAGCCAATCTGACACCCTGTTTAGGTGTAGTCAAAGAACCTATCAAACATTATACAGTAAATCCAACAACAAAACAATCTGTCTGTTATTGTTGTCATTTACAACCTGTAAATCCGTCAACAAAACCACCACTGTATCCGTTTCAAAACTAAATATATGGAGAGTCTTAAGTCCAAAGTAACACTGGGAAAGAGGAAATGCTCTTAGAGAAGAGCTGGATTAAGAAATAACTTCAGCTCCGTGCTAGCAGAATAAACTTTTACTTAGAAATTCAGACAGATTCAGAGAAAAAGAGGAAAACACTTTTTCTAGTCAGGATATATTCTTTAAAATGCAGGATAGAAAATGCATCATAATTCCAGAAATGCTCTCTAGTGCATTATCATTATACAATCCACAAATTTTCAATGTCGTAGCTTGAAGCAATTATTTTTAATATGGGACATACTCTCATGGCCACTGTAAGCTCCAGAATATACCATATACTTTAATAAATAAATAAATATGAACCCTTGGTAATGGTGTGTGTGCTCTTTGGTGGCTATCCTTCTGTACCAAAGATAGTGTCAGCTAAATTGGGTTACACTGAATTAGAGCAGACCCCTTAATTTTTTGTGTGTGCATTGTGAATGACTTGAGATTGCAGCATGCTGACACCAATAGTAATAAAAACCATAGACGACTAAAAGCCTCTGCTACTAAATAAATTCTCTAGTGTTCATTTATTCTAGAAATAGTATCTGACTGTGGATTGTCATGCTTCTGCTCACTATTTCCTCTAAATACGTTTCAGACTAGTTGCAAAGTTTGAAAGGGTGAGAACAATACATTTAATGAAATTCAACTTATGTCTTTAGCTTCCCTGCCTTTCAGATACCTCATCATTTCTCACCTGTCCCAAAGATTTTGGCTGCAGCAGCCACAGTACACTGAATAGCACACTTTTCCCTGGGAAATCCCTATCTGTCCTTTACTCCAGAATATCCAATTTAGAGCCTGAAGATGCTGTCACCTTTTCAAATAACAAAGACCTTGATTTTTTTACAACAGAATTGGTATAAGACAAAAATATGAATTTATACAAAAAACACAGGATTTAAGAATAATTAAGTCTGAACCTTGTAGGCATTTTGGATCACGTCAGCCTGTCCACCAAAACTGTGAGGCCTAAAAACTCACTTTAAGAAAGTAAAAATAAACTCTTGTGCAAATATTTAACTCTAAAGGCTGTGGCATCTTTTCCTGCATAAATATGGAAAAGGACAAGTCAAAGCATAAGGTGCTCTTTTACTACCCAAATAAGTTTCTGACATTGACAGTGGAATATACTTTCTTCTTTTTCCCACAATAAGAATGGAAGTATGTATTAAATACAGATGAGTTGCATCAAGATATACAAACTTAAAAATCAATATGTACTGTAATTTATTAACCAACAATGGAATATCACATAAGGTGAGCCCTTTCTATCCAGATACTTTTGAGAAGCAAAAAAATAACATTGCTGACTCTGAAATGCTGAGGACACAACATTCTCTACTTCCTCTGATTATAACAGGCATAGGTTCTGCTATTCATTGCACTGATGCTGCTACAGCCACATCACAGTTGAAAACAGCATGATGTTACTTATACTCCATGAAGAGAACAAGTTTAGAAAAGACAAACAATATTAATTTTTTTCCCTAAAAAAACAATACGGGCTATCCCCTTTGAGATTCCTTCTTAAGACAAACATATAGAGTTGATGGTGTTACTCTTTCTTTAGACCACAGCTGCAATCACTTCATAACTATAAAATACCTAGTCTCATTAAGGATGTGCAAGAAAGAAAACAGATTGAGATCAATTATCCAAAATATCCTAAACCAAAACAGTTTCTTATTGAAAGTAGTCTTCATAAAAAATTACAAGGTGGATTTCTTCTCACCAGACTGATGGAGCACAGGTTGAGCTGAGGCCCCTAAAGAAGGCCTTTGTTCATTATCAGGAGAGGACAATAATGAAGTTGAAGGGGGACTTTCTGTTGAAGATGATGTTGAAGGAGCTTGGGCTGACATTGTAGAAGAGGAAGATGATGGAAGTTGCTCAGAACCATCTACTTCCATTGCAGTTTCTGATTCTGTACTAGGCGGCACGTTATTAGCAGCAGGAGCATCTGTCCGATTAGTCCCACCTTTGATTAAAAATAAAGCAAGAAAAAGCCCAAAGGTAAGCTTACTCTGTCTCTAAAGATCCGTTTCACAGGGCAAACAAGCGTGCTCAGTTCTTCACAGTACACTAAAAATTTTTGGTTTACACCTCAGAAAGGCTGATATTCAAGGCCTGGACATCCAGTATAAACACATCACTGTAATTATTATTCTTGAAAAGAAGGAAATCACCTCTGGACCGTGATCTTCCTCGTCCTCGATTGCTTTGTGCAACCTCACTAGCTTCTTCAAACCACCTTGACAGCATGTCTGACATCCTTTGCATTAGAGAGACATTAGGACTTTGCTCCCCTGTAAAACAAGTAATGCCAAAGTTTTACATACAAATTTACAAAAGCGTTAATTCCCCCCATCCCTTTTTCCATAAAAAAACCCCAACAGCAAAAAAACACCTGCACTTCCCCTGAAGCATCTCCTTTATTCAGCACAACAGTCCAGCAAGAATTGCCAGTTGAACATGGCACCACATAAAAACCAACAGTCCTTCCACCTTTTCTGTTTTACAGTCACCTGTAGCTTTTGTACACATGACATTGCAAAATTTATGTTATTCAGTTTTAAATGCTGGTTAAATAAGTTAAGAAAGCACAGATTTTTATGTTTTTCCAGCTAATTATACAACAACCAATTTTATCATTAAACAATGAAAGAGCAAAAAGACCAGCCTAAAATTAGCATATGATGTTTTTAACATTTCCAAACGGCTTCTTCATAACTTAGATTTTTCTTATAAGCACAATTTAATATAACCACAAAGTTCTTCTAGGGGTTTTAATTTTCCATTTTGGATCAAGTGTCAGGATTGCAAAGACTCTGAAGCAGCAAAATCTTTGACATACTTTATTTCAACATAACTGACAATATTTTCTTCTCACTTTATTTCTGGTTTTACCATATATGAAACAAAATTTCTATCAAGAGAGAAGATAGGAAAAACTCTATTTATAAAGGGTAGAAATAGAATATTTGAATCTAAGTGGGTTTTGTATTCTGTGAATTTATTTTTTCCTTTACACATTGGCATCTTCCAATAGAAGACCATTCCACTGGACCGGACCATTCCACTCATACTGAAGTAAGAGCTTCTGCTGGCCCTTTAGCCACTTTGGAAATACGTAGTGTTTAACCAACTTCTGGAAAATTTTTCTAACTGAAGACCTTAAGAAACAGAATCCCTGTAAAGTACAATTATTTGTCAAAATACATATATGAAAAATATTTTAATACCCTGCATACAAAAGCTAACACTGAAAGATTATGGACCATACTTGGGAAGAACACATACAGTGAGAACATGCCTCTCAAACATCAGTGGTGCTACCTGCACAGATGTTATAAAAACTGAAAGACTAATCAAATATCTGATTATGTTTCAGGACTGCATATAATCTTCACTGCTAGAGTATAGCTTGACTATATCATCACTAGACCTTGCTTTTAGATTATTTGTTTGAGTTTAAAACACATTGTTGGGAATGGAGAAGGGAAGGGGAACATACCAACCCACCAACCCCAAAAAACCGCTGCCCCTCAATCTGACCCCAATGCCCTTGTCTACTCTCATTTCCACACTGCAGGTCTCTGACCCTCGCCTGGGATCCCTCATTCCCTTCCTGCACCCCAGGCAGAGGAGCTCTGACCTCAGAAGCTTAAAACACAAAAAATGGAATGCAACAGATGAACAAAACAGACAGAAGGTGGTTAATGATGGGAAGACAGGACAATCAACAGTTCACAGAAAAACAAGTCACAGGTCACCGCATGCTTAACTAATGCAATATAGCAATTCTCAGTCACTATACAGTTGTATCAAATAATGCATAGTAAAGATATTGAAGCTTTGTTTTGAGAAAATAAAAATCTAGCCAATGTCTATAGTGGAGGAGTCCTTTTCTCAGGCTTTATTTTTCTCCCCAGCAAATTTACTTGAGATTATGGGGAAATGACAGAGAGAAAATACTTAGCTGAAAAAAAATTTAGCTAAAAAGTAACTTTGTGCAAGGGCAAAGCTGCAACTAATTTTGATGGGGAATACCTGCAACAAAAACAACATCAATAGTGTCCCTAATATGAGGAGGTATACAAATGAGGTCTGTGGAATGAAAGCACCAAGTAAGCAGAATGTAAAACTGTTAATACTGTGATATTAGAATAAGAAGGCACATGATGAAACTAAGAGAGCAGTTTCAAAGAAAGGAATGAAAGTATTCCTTTACACAGTGGGCACTGAACTTCTGGAAGTTTTTGCCATAGAAAATATTATCAACAGGTTCAAAAAAGGATTACAGAAACTCACAGGCAATAGAACCACATGCAGATTCTAAAGGAACAGATAGGAATGTACCCTCTGAAGTTTCTAATCGAGTAATTCTGAATAGTGGGGGAGCAACAAAGGCAACAGACTAAGGTGATGGGCTCATGTTCTCTCCCTAAACAGCATTTCCTATTGCCTGTTGGATACAGAATCCTACTCTACAAGGACCATTAGTCTGATACAGCTAGACACTATTATTCTAGTTGAGGGAATCAGAAGATGAGAAAACCAACAAAGAAAACCTGGAAAGGGAAAAGGTAGGCAGAAAAGGGAGACAGACTTAAGGGAATTAGAACAAATACTTGTACCCCCACGACCTGTCAGATTTAAACAGAAACACATCATTAGCTGATGAGTAAGATGAGTGACAAAGCATCCTCTGCCCTGCTTTGATATCCCATTTTCTGAGGCTAAAGCATAGCTTTGGAAATGCTCTATCTACTGAAACCTCAAGTACTCGAGTAATATATTACAAACATGAAAATATAAGCATAAAAATTTAGTCACTACGTGTATTTTATAAAAGAGTGAAAGACACAATATTAGAATCCTATTGCTTGGAATTCCAGTCCCCTAACGTAACCATTACAGAGCATTTCATTTGTAACCATTAGTACATATAAGGCTTGACTACAAAAAGGGAAATACGTATTTGTGTTACTACATAACCAATAACAATGAAGTAAGCTTCCCTTAATTTATATCAGCCTAACTGAAGCAACATAATTTTTCTGGTAGGAATATTTTCAATTCAGACATTTTAAAAAAAATCACTGTAGAATAGCAGTTCTGTGTTAAATTCTAAGAAAACCATCTTAAGACCTGGCTGATTCTTAAAACATGGGACAGATTAATCTGAAGCGCTTACCTATTTCAGAAATACTTAAGAAAAACTGAAAAATAAACCCCAAACCAACCAAAACAAACAAACAAAAAGCCAACCAAAAAACCCCACAACAAAAACAAAACACACAAGCAAGGGCAACAACCCCACCCACAGTTGCATACACTTTACCATCTCTTTCTCGTTCACTCTCAGGCCTTGCTCTTGGTCCAGTATCTGACCAATCCCCTCTTAGTCGCAAACGTTTAACAGGAGGTTGCCGTAACTAGGAAGGGGGAGAAAGAAAGAAGAAAAAAAAAAAAAAGGAAAAAAGAAAAAAAAAGAAGATAAAGGCATTACAAAGCTATTTATTTTGGACAGTACAAAATTCTAAGTCTAAATATAAATGCAGTATCTATATCTCCATTTTCTTAAGTTACATAAATTTGTATCTGTCACAAAAAAAAGGAATTTCAGCCATATGTTCAGATCAACTATGAATAAACACAACACTATCAATAGAATGCAAGAGTTTTAGCTACACAGTTCAACAGTAAATCAATGACACTAAGAACTAATGCAGCTTTTATTTTATGAAATATTAACTTTGCTATGTTAATTAAGGCTTTCCATACTGAACAATAATAATAATACACGTTTTCCAGAATTCAGCCTGAATTCTGCAAAAATATTCACCTCTTACATCTTAAGAACTATATTGCAGCTTCAGCTTAAACGTGGATTTGCAATTAAGCAAAAGGGAAAAACAAATCAGACGTTAACAAAATAAAGAAATTTTATTAAAATAAACTCTTGTTTACTTTTTAAACTGTGGCTTGGTTTCGGGTTTTTTAACATTTTTATAACACAGGGGTTTTTTGCAGCAGGAAAGTATAAAACAAGTACTATATAGGTAGTGTTACTTTCAGCAACTTGAAAAGAAACAGCTAGTGCTTTGAACATTCAGAAAGGCAGTTCAGAGCTTGAAATTAAGTGTATTGGTTGGATATTTCTGGCTTAAGAACCGAGAAAGTGAATAGTTGTGCTGACAATTTTAAATTAAATGCAAAACCCCTGCAGTGAAAGCATATTAAAGTATTCACTTTCAGGAGCCAGCAGATTCAGGAAGAAAGCTTTACATTTCTTCTAGTCTATATATGTTAAAGCCAGGCTGAAATAAAAATAGCATTTAAGTAAAATCATCCGGCAAGAGGAGATTACAGGACATACTCTGTGCCTAACAAAGAAAAGAATACATAGGATCTGTTATTAACAGGTGGTCCAAATCTTCTCTCTCTCTAACAACTGTGCAGTCAATTCTCCACCAAATTACTTCACATCAAATTAACATTACATAGAAGAAAGGGAGAAGTGCAGAACCATTTGTTAATCACATAATTTTTCTGAGTTCCTCTTTGCTTTCTCCTGCCTCAGTGAGGTAACAGTGTAACTCAACTGGACATTCTTCCTCAGTCCTACAAATCTACGTCCTCCTCTGGTCAACAATATTTGTATTAGTAATGGCAGCCTATGGCCCAGTAAATACAGCATAGTCATTGCTAGTAACAGGCCGCAGGCTTAATAAGAAGGTAACAACAGGAGACTCACACTTGTCGGGCTTTGTCTGCACTTCACTTGCTCGGAGTTTCTTTTAGCTGATTTAGCTACAACAGCAATTGTCTAGTGACCGGGCGATTAGCACCTTATTTGCTTTAGTTTTGCTTAGATTTGCATAGATCTGTGGCGTACAACCTCTTGTTAACACTTTTGATATATACAGGAACACCAACTAGCTAAAGCGTGCAAGAAAGAACATCCTACAACCACAGGATACTGCTGCAGCATAAAGGAGTACAGGCATGGGCTGACAGCAGATATCCTGCAGGTGTGGGCACAAGAGGACACCAGTGACACCTTCTCAGCAAGTCACCCGCAGCTGTTAACTGTACTGTAAAGGCTGGACCCAACTAACAACTGTTTTGGGGGTAAAAACAAGGACAAAGAATACACACTTAAAAGCAAAACCATGCCATACTGGCAGTCTAATAAAGATGTAAAACATGCTTAAAAACATATAAAAATGGCCTTCAAGCAGACTCTATGAAAAAGTCATGCTTCTCCCAGCAAAGAGAAGGAAGAAATCACCATTATCGCCGCCCTCATCCTCCCAGTGAAGACAGGAGGATGCTGACAACTCATTGTAAACTCCCTTGAGGCCCCTGTCTCAGACCAAAGGTAATGGCCTCAGAATACAGAGGAGCTTGTGAAAGGGTGAGCATAACGCCAGGTGAGAAAAAACAGGAGTGGGTGGTTGTGGGGGTGCAGGCGGAGAGACGTTTATAACTTCACTGTAGTTAAAGAGATTTGTTTTATATTGATCAGAAAATTCAGACTAGAATAGAAGGGTTCGTATCATTATAGCTGAGCTGATAATAAACAGCTGCTTGTGTTTTGGTTACACTGCTGAAACTTTTAATACTGCTTAGTAGCAGTGGCTCATCTCCTGGATCTAAGTATTTCGTGCCCCCTCATCTTTGTCATTAAATGATAACTTTTAACAAAGAGTATTTATACTTGATATCAAGGAGGATGCTTTTGGTGGCACGGGCCCTGTTGGTCTTATAACCCGAGATGCACACAGATGCCTTCTCATCTTTAGGAAAGAGGAACCAAACAAGAAAGAAAACCAGAGTGACAAAATACTGTAAATAAAAAATAACTAGATTGCAAATACGCAAATTTTGTAACACAATCTACTTGTCACATCTGAATCTATGAACAGCAACATTAATTTCAGATTAATTTAAAAGGGAAATACAACTGATATAAATGTGCCACAAGAAAAAAAAAAAGCCAAACAGGAAAATAGGTCATCTTAATCACTTACCTCTTCCCGTCTTTCTTCAGCAGAAGGAACTTTAAGTTCTCGTGCTGTGTCATCCTTGGGGTCAAACAAGTATATGTAATCTGAAGAGTAGCTAACAAGGATCTCTTGACCATCTTCACTATAACATAGAGACGTTACCCTACAGGATTTGTTATTAAGATGAGGAGGAACAAAACGTGCCACCATTCCAACAGTGCCTCTACCAGCATAATTCCCTATATTTAAAAAAAAGGGGGGGGTGGAGGGGAGAAAGAAGTGACACATTTACTACTGCAAATTTTCAAACACTTGAATATACTTATCTAGCATCCAACAAAAGATGATCAGAGAAAAGCTACGTATCCTATAGCCTCTGCATTAAATTGGATCTGAACAGTGACATCAGATCTTACTAGTATTTTACACTATGTACAGTTTAAAAAAAAAAAAAGACGAACCCACACATACACAAATGTATTCGTATATCACATACCCATCACATGACGGTGTGTGGATGCTATCTGTCAAATGTAGTATAAATGGAAATTTTGGAACCTAAGAACATTTACACAATAATAATGCAAATCTGTATGTATACATAAATTAGAAAGGAATTAATTATATGAAACTTTGAAAATTTAAGATATACATCTCCTCTTTTCTACTGAAAATGTTTTAAAAAAAATACTAGTTTTCTTTTTTGAGACATAATAATACTGTCATTTTGAAACTGCAGAACTATACAATACATTAGACTTACCATGCTTCCCTGACAATTCACCTCCATTCCACACAGTAAAACAATCTTAAATTCTAGAAATACAAATCTGTGAGCAGATAAAAGTTACCTATAAGAAGATCTAACACTGAAAAAACCAGACTGTACCAAAACCTCATAATTTGCCATGTAACCACCTCCTACATGGCATATCTGTTGTGGCTTAGTATGTGCAACAGTCTGTCCTTGGCCACAGAGAAGTTCAAAGGTTATCATCGCACACTATATAAGGACTGAAACAGAAAGTTTTAAATAAAAATCATTCGTTTGCTCACTAGTCATACAATACCTCACCCCTTAACAAAAAACCCCCAAAAACAAACAAACGCAGATGTCCTCACACATGACCCCAAACCAAACAACAGAACACTATACCAATATATCCAGAAAAATTATAGTCTTCAAAATTTTGTCTTTTCTCTCCTTTACTCTATAGGCCTGCACACCTGAATTCATTTTATTCCTGTATTATTACAAGAGCAGGTACACAGTACCTTTTAATCAAGTTCATAGACTCCTTCATAAGGAATAAGTTCATAAGATCCCTTCCCATAAGAAGCAACACAGAATACAAGAAGAAGATAAGAACTTAATTAAAATTCAGGCGGACCACCGCAGGCTGTAATCACTAGCTTTTTGGAATCTTGCAATCACGTTTCAAGACAAAAGAAGAGACATAACAAAAGGTCTTTTTCTGCATTCAGTATACAACATGTTCTAAGATGGATGAAGATATTAAGTTTACTTACTTAAAGATTTCTGTATTACCAAATGCTAGAGTGAAATGACTGTATTGTTAGGAAGCACAGTTCTCAGAGAAGCAAGCTATACTTCATTCAGTATTACACTTTAGTCATTCACCATCTATTTTGAAAAAAAGGACCTGAAATTGGAACTGCAGATGGCTAGAAAAGCTTACTGTAAGGTATGGTTCCTACCTGTTGCTCTTGTCCCAAGCATTCGCCGATCATATATTCTCACTGAGCTATCAGAACAACCCACAGCAAGATAGTATGGGATTGGTGGACAAATAGCAACAGAAGTGGCAGCACGCCGACAGTTTATTAAAATATCCTGGAACAAACAAAAATATGGCATTCAAATAATAGCTCTGAACATGTGAGGTATAAGTCTATTTTTTACTTCAGGACACAGGCCCATTAGTCAAGGAGGTTTTGAGGAAACTAGGTCTGGCTCTGTGAAGATAGATTGTAAATATGTCAAACAGAAAAGCCTCTTCAGAGAAGAAAAACTATCAGAGACAGAAATACAGCACAAGATCAACTTAAAGAAAACAAACAAAACAAACCACAGGAACAAACATTTAAAAATAGATAAGCATAACAATTACAGCTTTATAAACTAGCTAGCACCTTGGATTTTCCTACGGAAACATAGATAACTTGAGTCAGAAGAGCATCAAATACACAGAAACAGTCTGAATTAATTTAAAGGATTATAATAGATTTAATCTATGGGCAGATAATTGGATAGACAAAAAGAAAGAAAGAAAACCCTGGAACTGGTAAATATGCACAAAGCAGAATAAAATTAATCAAGAGTAGCAATATATACTTTGGTGTCAGTTTTTCTCCAATTCAATATTAGAACTGCTTCTGAAATCCAAACACAGTGGACACGACACCACCAATACCTTACCTTCCAGGGAGCAATACCAGTGACTAATTTGATGTAGTGTAATTCATTACCAAATCTTTTCTTACAGAGGGACAAAGGATGCTCAAGAACATCAGGCCACAGATTATTTTCAAGGCTTATTTTTTGCCCCCAACTCTGCTCTCTGTAGTAACTAATGTAAACCAGACCAAGAGATTCAATTTTAACATAGAAGCTTTGCTACCATATCTAAAGCCTCACACCAAAGTTCATAAACTAAAAAAATGCCGAAAGAAAGAAAGAAAGAAAGAAAGAAAGAAAGAAAGAAAGAAAGAAAGAAAGAAAGAAAGAAAGAAAGAGACTCCCCAAACTTTTTTTGTTTCTTGGGAAACATGTTGTCATCTCCACCAACGACCCTGAAATCTATTATTTCTAAAAGCCTTACCAGAATTCATATCCTATGTTTGTATGATGTACAGCTCTACATTTAGGTCATCTTTATTAAAAGATTTCACTCTTACATCTTTACAATCTTCCTTTGTGCAACTTGTTTTGATTCGAGTATCAAACCATCTTACAGTGCCATCTTCACCACAAGAGAGGAAAGTATAGGGATCATTTGGTACTGTCATAATCTGCTCAAAAAAAAAAAAAGTATTAATACTTCCAGAAATATCATTAATTAGAAAATAAAAGCATTAACATGTTAAGCAGCAGACTTATGACTCAAGTCAAGCTTTCTATTGAAATAAAAGAGGAAAACTGAAAAACTGCTGATGTTTCTTCATTTTCAAAAAAAGGTTTGAACTGAAGTTAAAGAAACCACAACTGTGGAATGTCACATAAAATTAAATATAGGTCAAAGCTTACACTTATTTCTATTATCTTTTAATAAACAACATACATTTACTACAATCAGTTTTCAGATAAGAAATCAATTTGCTGCAGTAATTCAACAGAAGCTCAGTTTATTTTCTATCAAGTAATAGAAGACAATAACATACAAAACCCTCAGAACTCTGAATGACATGGAAATACTAGATGGCTTTTATTCCCATCAGCCATTCCTTTACATTCAAAATAGTCCCCTGAACCAACTATGCATTAAAGGCTGTTAGTAACCTACTCCCTTACTGCATTTTTTTTTTTTACTTTTTAAGAGAGCACTGTATTGCAGCATTTTCCTGACCTCAACCCTGCTCAAACAAGGGAAGACTCGGAGTCTCACATGTATGGCTTCACTCAAGAAGGCCTCCTTAAAACAAAACAAAAACGCAAGCAACTATAACGTTAAAGCTGAATTCTACAGGTCAATGAACGTGCATGAAATGTCATGTTCTTACACACTATCCCTTAGATACAAAACAGAATGTTGTAGAACCCAGCAGTATTTTTCTTTCCTACACTACTGCTACTATCAGTAACTTCAAGAAATCTATAAAGCTACAAAAATCAATAACAGTATAATACGCTAATTCAACACAGAGCAAATGAGTGATTCTGTAACACTTTGTATGTGATGATTCATTCTCCTCTCCCTCAACTCTTAATAAAAATAACCTATGAATATCTGTAAATCTCTCTACCTAAAGTGGGATTACAAAGGTAATCTCTGCAGGATTCAGCATTTCTTCTTGTAATGCTCAGTACATTAACTGACACAATGTGTGCTGTGCCAAATCTTACTGCTGACAAACAAGAATTTTAACAGGCAGAACAAAGCCAATGTTTTACTAACAACGGGAAAATAAACTTCTGAGGTATGGCCCACATTCTTCAATGTTAGCATAACATATCGAAAAGAGTATTTTTCACTACATGTTCACTCAAATTGATTTTATTAGTTTAGTTTTAAAAGCCAGCAATCGTTCTTCAATCCACTAAATCCTTCCAGCATTTTTGCTGTACTTGAATGCACAGCTTGCATTGAAAACATTTACTTTGTTCCAAGAATGTTGCTAAATGTGGTATAAAACTGCAAGCTCTTATTTCTCGTAGCTGTATTTTATTTTTTTTTCACACTGATACTATCTCATAATATACACGTAATAGTGCAGTACATACCTCCACTTGCACATGCCGATTTTTATGCATGGTGTTTAAAAAAACATACTAAGTATTTTCTAAGCATTAAAACAGAGAAATTGAAAGTGCAGACTCCAATAATTAAGACTCACTGTTACATATATTTAAGTTCAACAAGTACATATTATATATATAAAATCCTTTTTCCCTAACTAAAAAAATCCTTTTCTATTTAACTTTAAAAATATATAGCTATATGATCATTTTACTGTATTGAAAACATGAAGGTAAGAGTTGTCCATAAAAGTACATTCTCCTTCTGAAATGCAATTAACATGAAAGGCAATAAAGTAAAGCATTTGGCTGAGCAAAAATAAACTTGTAATGGCCTTGTATAAACAACAAATTCTCCAAAACCATGTTTCAAGAACTTCTCTCTCTCCCTCTCCACTTATTCTATTCTCCCCCAGAATTAAAAACAGAATTATCTCACAGTTCATAAGAATCTACAGAAATCTCTACACTCCTCTGTTTCAATAGATGTTTTTGTAATGTCTTGAGCTGTCACAAACTCCAAGTTTAAAGAGCAGTATAAATTCAAACCACATTCAAATTTAGAATTGGAACCTCAGGGGCAGATGATGTTAGCTTTTGTTATTTAGAGAATTCAGTGAGTCAAAGTTCTATATTTAATACGATGATGTGGTTACGTACAGCTGGGCAGTAACATCATGATATTTTGAAATTATTTTCCCACTTCAGAAACCTCTCAGTGACAAAGTTGTGTTATGTCAGAAGCTGATGCTGTATCTCAGACGTTTGTTTAAAAGCCTCTGCTATTTACTCTATTATACTTTCATATGCCAAGGATCAAAAAAAGGTCTGCTATGCCACACAATAATACGTGCATTTAATGTTCAAATATCAGATTTAAGACACAGTAACAGAATTTATAAAAAGTATCTCCCAAAATGTTTTATAAACCTATCATTTGGAAGACTTTTTGAAGAGAGCTCAAATTTAGAAATGTTAAACCTCAGTGCAAAACAAGCTAAGAAAAATAACTTCAAAAAGAGACAGTTGTTAAAATAGTCAACATCACATAGGGGTTTGAGATCCCTTCTATTAACTGTGTTTAAAAACAGTGTAAACAACCAAAACAGTATCACACTTTTGTCATTCAAAACAACCATACTGCCCTCTTGTTAACATTATTCGCTGGATAAAAATCATCCCCACTATCACTATTTTGACTGTGCAATATAGCAGCCAAATGTCCACGCTCTCTTCAACTAATGATTTTGAAGAAATTTACTATATTCTGCACAACTAGTTGCTGTTCAGTTACAGTCATTCTACATAGACAATAATAAAACTTGCATCTTGATTTGCCAGATTGTTAGGCTTTCTGTATTTCCTCTAAAATATTTTTCAAATTCTTACTGTTTTGACAAGTTTAATTTGTTGTACCTATCAAATTTATATTTATCATCTGGTTTAGTAGCTTGCAATGTGCATACCATCATTATTGATGAGAAACACCACCTTGTAAAGAGCCAAGTGGCATCTCATACTACTAGTTAGAAGTGTTATGTTCTAGCCTCCTTTGCTACTCCTGACCCATAAGCACAACTGGCAACTGCTTTCATTGAATTTTCCCAGTTTGATCATTGCTTTGCAGCACCACCTGGTGCCAGTCACTTCAGTTAATCAACCAAACTGTTGGTCAACCCAACTCGGGTAGATCAAAACTTAAGACCACCACAGTGACTTCTCATGATGACTTTTATGCTGCCACCAGCTCTTTCATTTGCAGTACTCTGAGCAGCCTGGCCGACGACCCCAAACCCACTACTCTAATGATACTTATACCGCTACTTTCATGTCTCCTCAGCACAGTATCCATAACTGTTCTCCTATTCTCAAGCTCCAAACAGCTCTACATAATACTCACAGCTAGCTACACAGGAAACAGAGGTACCAGTTGAGCCAGTGACTGACTGGCCGCTCCTCAAGCTTGCAGCCAGCCAGCAAGGGGAGGCTCTTATCTCCCCAGGAAGCCACAATGCAACAGCCTGACAGACCCCCTCCTCAGCAAGGACGTTTCAGCGTTAAGAAATAGCATCTCTGTCTCCAGATGTTCTTATGAAAAGGCAGGTTTTATTTGAGATACAGAGAACATCCAATCCACTTTGAGAATCCACAGACTAGCATACAGACTACTATATATAGTAAACTTCAGTGAGAACTGAGGCAGTTTAAGCTTCTGATTGGGGGCCATAAGGACTGATGCTATTCAAAGGAAACAGTAGTTTCTCAATCAAAACAAATCCAAAAATAAAAGCAGATGATGCAAGCCTGGGATCCAGAATTCTGTTTTGCAAAACTGAAAATACAGTCTTGTATTAAACCCAGGCAAAACCAAACCAAACCCACAAATCCCAGAAGCAGAGTGAATACCACAAGGTTCGCCTGACTGACCTACAAAGTTACCCTGTTATCCTTTAATGGAACATGTGTAATTACAACTGTAAGGATACTTTTACTACATGATCAACAATGAATTCTAGCTGTACTTAAGCCATTTTCTTCTCTCACACAACCTTTCAACACCCCCCATTTTTTTTAACAGTGATTTTTAAATATTTTGATCACTTAATATACAAAGAAAGAGATTTAAAAGCCTGCTATGAAATATGAGCTAAACAGTTAAAAAAAAAACCCACACATGGATTTGGGATTTTTTTCCCCTGTGCGTGTACTGTGGTAGTGTTAAACAAACGAACAAAAAAAAAAATCCAAAAACCTGGAACATTTATAACCTAAGAAGGAAATCGCATTTTTTCTATTTTACACAGTAAGTTTTACAAGCAGCAGATTTTGCTGTCATTAAAATAAATAGATCAATAAATCTGATTATCTTCCTAACGTAAATAACACTTTGGTTCTCACTTGCCTATACACATGAACAAAACTTCCAAGGGAGGATTGAAAACACTGGCTCCACATTTACACAAAAAGAGTTAACTAGAATACAAAATAGAGAAATTACTGAAAACTGTAAATAGATTTTTCAGATTCACACATGTTGAAATAAGCATTTCTTAGGATTTAAATTGTGAAAAAACGCATTAAACCATTGAAAAGTTGGGGGTGGGAAGAATAAAAATAAAAAAGCAAAACATAGCCACTGTCCCCACCCCCCAACCTACTTCAGAAAAAAATTCCCAGCACAATTTAAACCAGTTTTGGTCTGCAGAGGATTCTTTCACTGAAGATGTATTCAGCTACTATATTTGCAAAAAACGTGGTCTTAATGACACTACCTTTTGGAAAGTCCTACGTTTAATATAGACAACATATTTCTCTTTTAAAGTGTCCTCTAAGAAAAAAATAATCAAAAAAGCTAGAAGGCAGGTTCTTTAATTCTCACAGAAATAAGCTTTCGTCAGTCTGGTTAAAATCTTGGTCAACAATATGAGAAAATACATATTTTAACTATCTTAAAATTATCATACACTTTTGTGAGTTACCTCATAGGTAGTTCCATAATGGCACGTATACTGGCATTGTCTGTTGGTCTCCGCATCTTGTTCAACGTTAGTGTAAAAAATTACTCCATCTCCAGAACAAGATACAATCTGTTTGTCATTGGTGCACGGTAAGAATTTTGCACTAAAAATATTGGCCCTGTGTCCCGAGCGAATGGTTGTTAAAACCTGAGAAGAAAGAAAAAGGAAAGCTCTATCAGGTTAATATTTTCAAAGCAAACAAAAGAATGGGAAAATAACACAGAATCTGGTACTATAAAACATCGGTTATATGCAGGCTGCCAGTAACCTGCAGTTTAAAACAACAGAACAGAGAAGCTGTCTTTACACCAAATTTCTTTTAAGAATAAAGGTTTTCCACAAGAGACATTCACTTAAGCACCTGCACAAAGTATTCTGCAAAATGAGAGGACTGGAATGCAACTGCCAGCTTATGTTTTTAAAATGCTAGTTTTCCTCGGGTTTCTCAAAGTAAAACATTAGTCCAGGATGATAGTGCAGCCAGTCAGCACGTCAGTGAGGAGAGATTTAGAAGATCTGGAATATTGCAGGTCAAGAAGAATAAGGCATTGTAATCCACGCCAACTTTACACAGACTTCAAAAATTGATACTACTCTTAAAATAAACTCACTTTAAAAAGGAGAACTGAAGTTTATAAGAAAGGGTATTTTGAAACCAGTGAAAAATAAACAAACATTTAAGAACACTACAGGGCAATAAAGTAAGACTTGACTTCGTCTCAATGAAATGTCTTTCATCTACAGTACAGCAGAGAAGGATGTAATTTACTTCATCATCACAGATGGTTTTAAACACTCAGTGATGACTCTTTATATTTCCTAATACACTTATTAGTCTATCAAAACTGAAACCCCCCCCCCTCCATATGCTTTCCTGTGCACTAATGAACATTCTGTCCTTACCTTATTTCTACCATCTGCAGGATTTAAACCAAACTGCACTTTCACTGCTACTAATAGGAAAAAGATACTTACCAAGTTGTTTATACTACGAAAATTACTTCCAAATTTCCACTCAATTAACTTAATCAAAGAAAATTTTATGCAAATTAAGTTGTTCTGTCAGTGATAGTTCATGCCTAATACTTTACAAGTGCTATTTCATATCTTTTAAACAATTCACACACACACAAAAATGCGTATTCTGAAAGATACACGAGGCTCAGTATTTTAAAAAAGAAAAGTCAAAATCAGGAGATATAATCCATTCATTTTATTTCAGTAAATCTGTCTCTTCATTTGAATTTATTTGTTCGGATTTCTGCATTTTACTGAAAACCTTCAAAATCCAGACATTCAAAGGAAATGAGGAGCTCGGTATCAAAGGAGCAACTCACAACAAGTCCATAAGGTACCTTAATTTAGATGAAAGTTAAAGAAGTCACCTGTCAATCCCACTTCTGACTTAACGCTATTGCTACTGTGAAAGAAATATTTTTGTCCTGACAAGAAATACTTTTTGATCTCAGTAATTTAAAAAAAAAAAAAAAGAGTTATCTAAACACCTAGGGGCTCTCTCTACCATCTTGCCAGTTCCCCACCACTTCCCTCCCTATTGCTGAATATAAGCAGGCAGACTTTTTTCTCTTTGTTCTGCTGTACAGGGTCCTTCTCTCACCAAATTACAAGTGCAGCAAAAAAAGATAGGCCTGTAACGAAGGCCTACTTATATGTGATAAGAAACTATATTACTTTAGGTAGAAGGCTAACAATTCTTAGAATGAGCACCTGCTACACATCATGATAAAAAGGAGGAGCTACAAGACACTCCACGGCCCTTATGTACATACTTTTCAGAAAGGGAGGACACCACCTCCAGGAGCATCTTATCTTCCTAAGGCATATAGCAAACAATTACCAACACCAAAGTATTGAGAAACTAGGGGAAAGGTAATTTGGGCCAGGATCCCCACGACCACCGACCCATAAGCCCCCTACCCAAATTATACCACCTACTAAAAAGATAGAGGTGGAGAAAGGAACTGAGCATGCATTCTAGTTTGCATACTAGGCGAAGAAATATGAACCAATTATTGTAACAGGGAGTGTACCACTTTGTAATCTTTGTAACATTTGTGTATAAATATGACAAGAGAACCAGCATTAGGTGTGCCTGATTAGAGGAACTATCCTCCTGACAACCAGTGCTGCAATAAAAAGAAATGCCTGCTTCCTAATGCTAATTTGGTGTTAAGGAGTTTTCTTTTATTCCCAAATTTCGGTGACACCTGTGCTTCTTATTTTTCCCCCCTTTTTCTCACAAACCCTAACCTAATGCTCTTGCTTTTCATGTGGTCAATAGCTAGCTTATTCCAATCTTCTGCTTCAGTTTTCCCCATCTGCAGATCTCAATTTAGACATGGAGATCTACATTTGATGATTGCCCTAAAACTTGGAAAAACTCAGATTTTTCTTTCCCTCCCTTCTGTCCTCCACTGCAAACTGAAACAGCATTCAGAAATATATACAGCTACACATTTTCAGTAAAGCAAAGAGTTTTCTCACAGGCAGACCTAACCTCATCATGCCTGCCTCTCATTTCCTATGTTGCACAGTGTTGCAATAAAAAGTATTACAGCATTTATTATAAGCAGAAGATTTTCCATGCCCTTCTTGACTTGCACAGTACATCCTTTTCTACTCTGGTTATTACATTGCTTTAGAGAGGGGAGAAAGAGGCCTAATAAGTTGCTGGTGCCTAGGCAACAAAAAAGATGAGAAAATGTAATACACACAACCAACCCCCAAAAGCCTATTGTTAACTACACCGAGTAAAACAATGCCACCACTTTACTCCACTGGAGCATTTTACAACCAACATGTAACAGGCTACAAATAGTTAATGACTTAGGAAAAAAGGGAGAGGGGAACAAAGAATTCCAGGTGTTCTTCAAAGTACTTATCTTTCAGGCATCCTCATAACTTTTGCAATCACTTAAGTAATATATTACACAGAAAATCAATTGAAGAGGCAACAAATTCAAGAATTCAAGTTGCATCTCTTAAAAGCACAGATTAAATCTTTGGGATGGGATTACTAATTCACATAGTGATCCCAGAAGCTTGCATACAAGCTCCATCCTTAACAATAAGTACTTTCCTCCAGGGAAGTAAAATTTCTGGCAGCTACTCTGTTGTCATCTTAAACCTGAAACATATAAGTTCCATATCCAAATGGAAACACTTTATGATAAAAAGAAAAAAAGTCACCATAATGACCAAAGCAGCATTTTTAAAGTCACATTAAAAAATAAAACCAGTTTTAAAAAGTGGTTTTATTTCCACTCTTGCTTGCTTTTTTAAAAGAAGCCTGTTGAAACAAATGAAAGTATCAGTGGGTTACTAAGCCTTTCAGGATGTAATTAATTTAGGGTTCTCATTCAAGATACTCAGCACAGAATCATTTACAATCCAACCTTTTCAATAGTACTTCATTTGAAGAGGTCAAACCTCCTTTAGAAGCAAAGGAAAACAAACCTGACGGAATCTCATCCTAAAGTGAAAAGCAGCAAATACTGACTAGAAAAACTGTAAACCTTCAGCCCCACTAAGCACCTTCCAAAGCCTCCCCAGCACTTTCTCATGTGAGCTGAGCCCTTTCTCTCCCACAAGGCAAACCAGGCTAAAGATTCAAAAATCTTGAGTGTAACCACTCACGAGAATCCCGTCTTCACACTGGTGTTAGCTGAGAAAAGCCTCAGGATCCATTTAAAGGCTTTGAAAACTGAGTGTTCAACCTGATGTAAATAACATGAATTCCGATCTTTTTGTACCATACTTGTAGTGAGCTTTAGCTCCAGCCAAGCTCTCCCCTCTCCCCACCTCTAATAATGCAATGCCTAAAACAAATGAGGAAGAAAAGATCCACAAGAAGAATTCTTCTGAGCCATCCCAAAGTACAATAAAGTGATCATCTTTTTGATTTAGAGTTGCAATTACTATTAGAAATCACAGTAACACATCTCACCTCAGACACACAAACGCTATGAATATTTAACTTATCCAAACTTGAGAAAAATATTTCAAGTTTTCTCCTTCTGAGACACGTTACATAGCAACAATTAACATTTGCATCTGGCCATACATAACACAAACTGGAGTGACTTACAAAAAACTGAAGTAAGAGTTAAACAAGATTAAATGCTTCCTGTCATAGTTTAACCCCAGCCAGCAACTAAGCACCACACAGCCACTTGCTCACTCCCCCCACAGCGGGATGGGGGAGAGAATCAGAAGAATGAAAGTGCAAAAACCTGTGGGTTGAGATAAAGGCAGTTTAATAGGTAAAGTAAAAGCCGTGCACACAAGCAAAGCAAACCAAGGAATTAATTTGCCACTTCCCATGGGCAGGCAGGTGTTCAGCCATCTCCAGAAAAGCAGGGCTCCATCATGCATAACCAGTGCTTGGGGAGACAAACACCATCACTCCGAATGCCCCCCCATCCCGCTTCCTTCTTCTTCCCCCAGCTTTATATGCTGAGCATGACGTCACATGGTATGGAATATCCCTGTGGTCAGTTGGGGTCAGCTGTCCCGGCTGTGTCCCCTCCCAACCCCTCGTGCACCCCCAGCCCACTGGCTGGTGGGGTGGTGTGAGGAGCAGCAAAGGCCTTGGCTCTGTGTGAGCGCTGCTCAGCAGGA